AATTCAACTGCAATCAATGGCTACTAATTTCGATTTCGAGCATGAGCGGTTTTGGTCATGGACGTTAAGTTTTTATTTCACTTATTCTCTAAGGTATCATATATTACACGCTTTTTTATTTCAAATAAGAATTTATATAAGATGAGCCTACACAAGAAGTTTCAAAATTTACCATGCCCAAATTTAAGGGTTAGGTAGTTCCCTATATATGAACAAGCTTTGCTATTGGTAGATGATAACAATAAAAGACAATAAAACACAATGAATTATTATAGAAATTAAATACTTATTGAGTTTAGGTGGAACTGAACCCCGTCAGAGATTCAAACTCTCGACCCCTGGTTTACAAGACCAGTGCTCTAACCACTGAGCTAAAGAGGCACCCGTGAAAAACATTCGTGGAAACTGTTGATATAATTGATGCAAAATCCTAGCGCACAATTTTTTTACCAGGGTGATACTTAGATTAAGTTGAGAGAGTACATCTAATGTTTGAACGAGAACACGTACCACATTTTTTTCTGAAGAAAATACAACATAATTATAGAGCATCAGCAAATTGTTGTCAAAGGCTGTTCTCTTTCAAGCGTGAGGGGCAAACAGGGCTTGGGAATCGAACCCGTGACATCTCGCACGCTTAGCGAGAATCATACCACTAGACCAGCAAGCCATGTGCAGAACCCGGGAAGTGTTTTTTTCGCATATTTCATCTCTCACAATAAAGACGATGTATACCATGCATGGAAAAATATAAAAATCTTTTCATGTCATATTTATTACAAGCCAAGTTACTCTGAGTGAAAAAAGACTTGTATAGGAATCTTAAATCACTATAGTTACCCAGACCAAACAAACGCAATGGTAGAAAATAGACGATTATTGTTAACACGATAACAATCTAGGTTTTAACCCTAGAATCTAGAGCAACGGAATTGGTTTCATTCAGTTGTAAACATTTTTACCGCGTAGCTGAACTATGAGGCTACACAAGAAGTTTCATTATTTATCATGCCCAAGTTTGATGGGTAGGTACGTTACCTATATGAACAAGCTTTGCTATTGGTTGATGATAACAATAGAACACAATAAAACACAATGAATTATTATAGATATTGATTTAAAAAAAACAAGTCATAAACATTGTTCAGTATCGTTCTACATATACAAGAAGCCGGTCAAAAAACTCGTTCATGTTCGTAGATACTTATTAAGCTTAAGTGGAAGATGTCGAAAGCCTCGTCAGAGATTCGAACTCTGGACCCCTGGTTTACTAGACCAGTGCTCTAACCACTGAGCTAAGGAGGCACACGGAAATCACATGCATGCGCAAATTGAAATGTAAACACATGTTTCAAAAAACGTATTTCAGTCTTGTACTCACCCTCACCATGCACAGTTAAAAAAAGTAAGCCTTATCAGAGAGTTGAACTCCGGACACCTGGTTTACGAGACCAGTGCTATAACCACTGAGCTAATAAGGCAAACCCGTAATACTTTTGAAAAAGGTAAAATGAATCACTGGCGAAAAATGGTTATTCCTGCAAAGCTAAACCTTAAAAGGGAAAATATTGGTGTTAAAGTTTGGTCGATCAATTCAGTAGTTTTCACAAACACCATGAGATTATCCTGTAGACGATGGCAATGGTAATCATACGGTGATATGGTAGTTGAAAATGTTACATGTTATAAAAAATATGCCACGTACTATAACAAAGTCGCACGAATTCATTTTCCTGATGTTCAGTACTTGTATATGATGATTGACGAGGTCTTCCCGCATTGTTGACATGTTTACAACGTCTACATTTATGCATACTACATCTCCTCCTTGCACGTATATTGATAGGGTTGATACTGCATGTGAAAAGTTTTATCGGGAGATTGCAACTTGAGTTCAACACTGCTTTTTTCTTGAAAGAAAGAAACTCAATCGCGAAAAAATTTCAAGTTTTGAGTGCAAACAGGGCTTGCACGGGAATCGAACCCGTGACCTCTCGCACCCGAAGCGAGAATCATACCACTAGACCAGCAAGCCACACCTGGGGAGATCGTTCATTATCTTTCGGTAATTTAAAAAAATTCCGGTATATCACATGAAAAACTAAGCTGTAAGAGACTTCCGTTAATTCGTGCGGAAAACATCCCATTTTGCTGTTGAAAATTAGCCTATGAAGGAGCAATAATTTCTGAATAGAGATCGCTTTGACAAGAGGTAATTTCGTTCTAGCCCAATCACCATGTTTATTTACATGTTCTGTAACCGAATCAGAACGATTTCACATCAAGTATTAAAAATTCAATTTTAACTACTCTGACTGGTATTTCCTAAAAAATGCAAAAAAAATTATGTCGTATATTTTGAAACGAAATTCCACCTGGTGGCAAACAATTTCTCCGTTTTAAATGAGCATCTTTCGGAATAACAAGAGTCGTAGTCGGCAGGATTGGAACCTGCGCGGGAATATCCCAACAGATTTCAAGTCTGTCGCCTTAACCACTCGGCCACGACTACATAATTGCCTCATAAATCGCTTATTTTGCTTTACCACTGATAGCTTGGAACTTAGCTGTTTATTTTACTACACATTTTACGTCGTGGGCACATTAATATAGGTTCTCTGGAATTGGTATGTCTTCCCAACTGCTTTTCATTCGCCACCCGAGTTCGCGAATTATAATAAGACTGAGAAAAAAGTAAAGCGTCTCGTGAAACTTGCGGTGACGGTTGGCGGAAGCTTTTATCATAGGAATTAATTATTGATAGAAATCAGGCAGTTCACAGGGCGTGTAAACAGATCATGCATCAGTGATTGAGCATTCAGCAGCATATCCGAGATAGCAATTCAACTGCAATCAATGGCTACTAATTCCTGAGCGGTTTTTTATTTCAGTTATTCTCTAAGGTATCATATATTACACGCTTTTTTATTTCAAATTAGAATTTATATAAGATGAGCCTACACAAGAAGTTTCATTATTTACCATGCCCAAGTTTAAGGGTTAGGTACGTTACCTATATGAACAAGCTTTGCTATTGGTTGATGATAACAATAGAAGACAATAAAACACAATGAATTATAATAGTCATGTCATAATACATGCCAAGTTACTCTGAATGAAAAAAGACTTGTAGGAATCTGCAAGCACAGACAGCATGGTTACGGTATACATAAGCTATTGAGCGATCGACCCTACACCACATAGACCGGGCTTTAAATTTGGAATCAATCAATCGAAAATTTAAATTTTCAGTCCGGGTCGCTTTTATGGGCTAATTCTATGGGGTGTCACACCATGCAACTTTCCCCCGTGCATATACTAGTGCAATGGCGTTCAATGCCGCTGCGTTAACTAGACACATATGCCAGCAGTCTCCTCCCGTGCAAAGTGTCTGGTGTTAGACAAAGTAAATACTCAAGTAGTGTGGCACATTTGAGGCTCACCACAGTTCCCATGTTTTTAAACAATTCATATAGTTTTCTATCAGATCATTACTAAACTTTTTAATGTCAAAACTTGGGATTTTTTTGGAGAACATTCTTGCCGTCATAGAATTGTGAACATGAAAATAGCCATTTCATATTGATATTAATACTGCATGTGACGTAATTGTGAAAAAGGACTGTATTCCTATTATTACTCCGGCGTCAGCGACGGAGTTGAAAATTCGCCCCGGTTTTGTTTTGTTGTTTTTTTTTATTTTTTTTTATTTTTCGTCGTCGCAAGTCTGAAATGGCGGGAAACATTCTAGTACTTAAAGTGTGTATGTGACTGTATTTATCTACGTCCCAGTCTTGTCTCCCAAGAGTTGTGGTGCACAGCTTTGGCTAATTTTCCGATGCGCGATTCGATTTCGCTCGCATGATACGGCAATTCCTCCAAGAGGAACAAATAAACCGTTCTTTTCATGCTTTTAGATTAAGTTTAGATCAAATTGGGGTAAGAATATATTCAATACATGTAGATTCTGGTCCTATTTTAATAATATCGCTGCTATTTCGCCGTTTAACAAGATGATGTGGTCGTGTATGGGCGCGTTGACACGTCGTAGTTTGCACAGGATTGAAGATATAATATATAAGCGCCTATTCCAAAAGCAAAGTGTAAGACAAAGCGAATATATCATGCGGTTTATTTACATTTTTGAACAATTGAACTTCTATACTTTTTAAAGTACGATGTGCTTCTGAATTTCGCGATCGAACATTTAGGTTCGCAAGGCATCTAAAGGCGAATATGAACTGTATTGTTTATGTTCAGAAGCTCTATATTGAAGACTGGCACGTGCGCCGGAGTTAACGCCAGAACAGGCGTCTAGTTTCAATATTAGTTGCACATTTTACCAAAGCATTTTATAATCATTACGCTTAGTGTTTGCCTCCGAGGGGAAAGAAAAGCAAAACAAAACACACCTTAAAGGAACTTGGAGGAAAGAAGGAGTAAGAAATTCCGTGAATGCGAAAAAATTTTAACGAATAAACCTTGCGATAAAACTGCATGTAAATGCGCCTACAAATCTACGTTGACTATCAGAGGTATAGCACCTTATGATTGAGTTTTGCCATACTTTTTCTATCAAACCAGTATTGCACATTATTTACAGCATATCCAATTATATGGATTGATACGGATTACCCGATCGTTGTCGAATTTGTGCGTTTATTTGTCATAGCGACTGTCGACAGGGAAGATGAAGATGTCTTGAAATTTGAAAATATGCTAAAAAATTATTTTGGAATCACTAAATGTTCAAATGTTCAAACCCCCTCAAAACTATAGGCTGTCTATACCTCTTTTTCACGATCCAACAAAATTTAGCGGCTTTTCTACACACCGCCGATGAACGTCATGCTCATGTGCAAATGTCGAAAAGAACGGGAAAAAACTATACCTAATTTACATACAATGGAATGCAGATTGAACAAAAATACAAAGTATTAAAAATACAAACGTTAAAAAAGGTACGAACTACATTTTTTACAAATATTCATATAGTAATTTCTCACCCTTTGTTGGTTTTTCTCCTCTTACTCTGTAATCTTTCGTACTAGAAGTTCCATATTGGGCTTAGGTTTGTAAGTTACAGACATCGAGCCTTCAAACGACATTCCAGGAATCATTAAAAATGAAAATCTTCGGATCAAGGCAGAAAGTACGACCTTTATCTCCATCAAAGCAAATCTATAACCAATGCAGATTCTAGGACCTGAGGAAAATGGCATGAACGCATAACGGTGGTTGGGATTGTTTTGCATGTCTAAAAAATAGATAGGCGTCACCAGGGCCTCTCACAGAAATTTTGGGGCCCGGAGCAAAATTCGGCCTGGGGCCCTTTCACTATCGGTGCAGTTTACTCCTATTTTATCTTATTTTATCTTATTGTATCGCATCTGTATCCCGTTTACACTATATCTAATGTATTGTCACAGCAAGGCTAAAATTAGAATCGGTACTTGGTACCCAGTTTTTATCTATTCTCGGCCTTTCAGATCAATGCAAATTGGTACAGGTACCCATTCTAGCCGTGCCGCGCCAAGAAAACTATGGTTTGCAAGTTTTTTACAGGGGAATAAAATTTCAAATAGCCAGAGGATTGACTTGATAAATGAATTAAACTATGGCTGTACGGGGGTTAAACGTAAATAATTTATAAACCCCCTAAAACGTATGTATACAGTATGTCATAGAACTTTACTGGTTTGTCAAACTAGCTACAATCAAATGAATATGAAATTGCTGGTGGATCGTTATTGCAAAAGAATGGTTAATCAAACCATACAAATTAAAGTCACTTACTTGGTTCCAGAAATCTCTCCGGATTGAATGTCTCTGGATCTGACCAATATTCAGGTTTACGATGGAGGGCGTAGAGAGGTATAACAACCATGGAACCAGCAGGTATTTTGTACCCCAAGATGTTGTCCTCTTGTATTACTTGTCTACGGTACACCGGTGCTGATGGTCGAAGGCGCAATGATTCATTAACCACGGCTGTAAGGTACTCCATTGAATCGTAGGTTTCCCAGCACTCTTCTTTCTCATTTAATGTAACTTCAACTTCCTGGCGAAGTCTTTTTTGCACGTCGGGATTTTGGGCAAGGAAATATAGCATCCATGACATGGAGACTGCACTTGTTTCATGTCCAGCGAATAGAAATATGAATATCTGAGAAAACAATTCCTCTTCATCCATACCTTTGCCTGTTTCGTCATCAACAGCTTCAAGAAGAAGATCTAGTAGATCTTTTTGTGCGGTTTTTTGTTCGATTTTCTTATCAATCTTATCTTGGATTACCTATATAAATAACATTTGAAGAAAAAATAAAATTTTGATTCTTCAAAATTGAAAATTTAACACCCCAGTAACCCTCCGCGACGATTATCTATAATTATATACCCCTCTAAAATTACGTAACACTGAACAATATACAATATTGATCAGTGCCACCGACACACGCACACACACAATACACGATGCTCTACTGGGTGGCGCAAAAAAGTTAACCTGTTTGATTGGGCATATAATGATCTCACTCCTTGCTCCGATTTGTATAACTGTATATTTTGTTTCTCTATATTATATATATTACTTTTCATGTGCTCTGACTTTTTCTCGCTTCCATACACTTTCTATATTATTGTCTGTCTCTAACTGTCAATCAGTTCTAATTCTATTGTCCAAGCTTAATTATCTATAAATAGCAGTTATGTATATTACATCACCTTTTTTTTTTAAACAATGTTAACATTTAACAAAACATAATTCAATCATATACTGAATGTCCAAATCTATCAGGTTTTCCTCTGACTCGGCTCGATCGTCGTGTCGGTATTTGATCTTGATGTCCAACATTTGTTGCTGCTGGTAGTGTGATGGTATTGTTCCTCTTTTGATGACGTTCTTTCTCATTATCGTCATCACTGTCGGTATCATCCCTTGGCTTTGGTATGCGTTTAAACTGTGACACATTTCGTGTGATAACGTGTTCGTTCTTGCTTCTTGCTTTAACCTGTAAATGCGATCTGTGTGTGACTACGTATGGAACGTTGTTGTTGTAATTCGCAGTCAATTTGTTCTGCTTGTCCTGACGAACTAAGACATACGCCTGTATTCAAAAAGCTCACTCACACTCAAACTCATTGAGTGGGAGATCTTAATCTTCTCATGACGTTTCAATGGCGGTATTTTCAGCCGAACAGGGGCTTGATTTTCAGTGATTTACCTTATATCTTTTCATCTATTGAGAGAAAACTTTCTCATTGATCAGCATTAACAAAATTTATATGTCACACTCAATGAGTGTGAGTGTGAGTGAGCTTTTTGAATACGGGCCATAGTCTCCTATCTTAATTTCACTCTCTTTTACGTTTCTTTTTTCATTCGCATATTCTTTGTTGTATCGCTGTCTCTCCATTTCATTCTTTTTAGCAATATTGTGTTTGTTAACAATGTTCCGCTTTTTCAATTCTGGAAGCTTTCCTTTTACTGTACGGTTAAATAGTAATTCCGCTGGTGGAACTTTCGTGGAAGAGTGTGGTGTTGTCCTGTACTGTAGCAAGAAACGATAAAGCTCTTGCTGCCAGGGTCTTCTTTCAATGTGAGCGGTTCGTAGCGTTTTTCCAAGGGGCTGCATGAATATTTCCGCTTCTGCATTGCCCTGGGGCCATTTAGGTGTTGAATGAAAATCTTTAATTCCAAGAGCTGTCAAAAAACGATTATATTCTGCACTATTGAAAGGCGGTCCATTGTCTGTCTTGATAGTTGTTGGGATGCCATGACGGGCGAACATTTGATCTAATTTGGGTATGACCGCAGAAGCTTTTGTCGAGCGTACTACTTCCACTTCGGGATATCTGGAATAGCGATCAATTGCGACCAGAAGGTATTCTCCTGAAGGAAGTGGTCCGTAGAAACCCAAATGTATCATCTCCCATGGTCCCTTTGGCATTGTTGTCGTTGATATTGGCTCTTGTGGTGGTGCTTTACTCACTGCTTGACAAGGAATGCACTTCTCTATTATTGCTTGCACCATTTTATCAATATTCGGAAACCAAATCTTTTCTCGGATTAATGATTTCGTTTTGGTAATGCCAAGATGAGTTTCGTGTGCAATGTTGCTGTAGCGATTCTGGTATCACTATACGAGAACCACGAAGAACCACGCCCTTTGTTGTCACAGTAAGTTCGTCTTTTACTTGTTTATAAGGCTTGACTACCTCGTAGTGCCACTTGTTGAGCTTTATAGCTGCCCGAACTCCTCGTAAGGTTTTGTCCTTGTTCGTTGCTTCTTCGATTTCCTCTATCGTCAGTGCTTTCGGAACTCTGGAGCGAGCAATAAAGTTTATGTGCTCCTCTGTCATTTTCTGCTGTTTGTAGCTTATTTCTTTTGGGTGGCGCGATAGATAATCAGCCGGATTGTTAGCTCCTGGCTTGTATCTTACTTGAAAAGCGTAAGGTTGTAAGCGTAACACCCAACGTTTTATTCTTGCTGATGTTTTGGAGTTTCTGTTGCCGTAAATTACTTCTAGTGGTTTATGGTCTGTGATTAGAACGAATTCGTTTCCGTACAGGTATAGATGAAAATGTTCCACTCCCCAAATAATAGCCAGCGCCTCTCTCTCGGTTTGGGAGTATTGTTCGACTTCTGTTAATGCTCTACTCGCATATGCCACTACTTTCACGTCGTCTTTTCCTTTGTTTCTCTGCGAAAGGATTGCTGATATGCCGACTGGACTAGCATCAACCGTTACCAGTGTCTCTTTATTTTTGTCAAAATATGCCATGCACGATGCTGAAGCTAAGGTGGAAGTTAACTTGTTGTATGCGTTCTGATGAATGTCGGTCCACACGAAAGGTGTATTTTTCTTCGTTAATTGGCGCAATGGAGCTGTAATGGTTGCAAATTTCGGAATATACTTGGCACTGTAGTTTGCCATGCCGAGGAGACTTCTTACTTCAGAAATGGTTTTGGGTACCGGCGCGTTCTTTAAAGCTTCTACACGTTTGGGGTCAGGTGTGCTGCCGTCTTTGGAAAATACTTGTCCGAAAAATTCCAGTTTGTCATTCAAGAAGCTACACTTAGCTTGATTCAAGCGTAGTCCTTTGTCGGAGATTCGTTTTAGACATTTATTCAAGTTTGTGTTATGTTCTTTCTGTGTTTTGCCATATACTAAATTGTCATCAGCTATATTCTTTACTCCGACTAATCCTTGCAATTGGGTTTGTAAAGTGTACTGGAAAATCTCAGCAGCTGCATTGGTGCCATAGTTCAGCCTTTTGTATCTGAAAAGACCGATGTGTGTACTGAATGTAGTAATGTAACGACTGTCCTCGTGTAGTTCTAGCTGATGATAGGCCTGTGTAAGGTCTAATTTGGAAAAACACGTTGCTCCATTTAACTCAAAGCTGATGTCCTCAACTGTTGGAATAGGGTGTCGTACCCGTTTTATAGCTTCGTTGGCAGCGCGCATATCGACGCATATACGAACGTCCTCGTTCTTTTTCGGTATACTGCTACAATTGGCGATACCCAAGGTGTAGGTTGGTTTTCTGGTACCCGTTCAATAATATCGTCTTTCTCTAGTTGTTCTATCGCGTTCTGGACCTTCTGACGTATGTGATAGGGAATTCGGCGTTGTGGCTGTGCTCGGGGTGTTGTTGTTTCATCAACGTTTAATTTGATTTTCCCTTGCTTGAGTTTACCCAACCCGTGGAAAACTTTTGAATGTTTGTTTAGAATATTTTGGAGTTCACGATCTTTTGTTTCAGTTACTTTGTTAAGATGAAAACTTACCAGGCCAAGTTCCTCTGCCGTTGTTGCTGATATTAGATTTCCGCTGTCTATCGTTTCTGCCACGTAAAAAGTTGCCACTGCAACTCGACGGCGAGTCTCAATAGCTTCCTCAAACTTGCCAATGAACTTTACTGGCTTGCTAGCAGTATACGCAAACGCTTTTATGTTCGTTTTCTTTAATTCTATTCCTGGTATTTTCTCATATGTACCTCGGTCGATGACATTGATCGTTGCGCCTGTGTCTACGGTAGCTTTGAACGATCGTCCGCATACTTTAACATTGACTTTGGGGGTCTTGTCATTAGAAACTGTGTATAAATATTCGTTGTCAGAACTGTCCGTCTCGCTCTGAACTTCATTTAGTGGATTTAGTGGTCGTTTGTATTTCTGTTTCGGTTTTATTTCATGTTGAAAAGCTTTTGTCTGACGTTGCATCTTTCCTCGACACACTCGAGCAAAATGGTTGAGCTTTTGACATTTGCGACTTTCTTTACCTTTAGCTGGGCATTGTCCTCCATGAGGATACGTACCACCGCAATTGTGACACGTTTTCGATGTTGTCATGGTCAGAAAATTCGGACATAATTAAAATTCTACTTCCGCCTAATTGGTGTGTCAAGCTTCGTGAGCTTATAGTAAACTGTAATGCGCACAGTACTAAACGCTATAAATACAGCTTTAGGTGGTCGATTATAATTTGCCTTAATTGCTCGTTGCAGAGAAAGTTAATCTTAATATTTTGAGGCAGTATTTCAAAATGTTTTATCAGTATTCGTCCTGCATTTTCAAAACAAAGTTTTGGTCATTTATCACGTTGAATACCATATAAAACGAAAACCGTAATAGCGTAGAAATAAGATAAAAATGCAGAGCCGACATAAACCTTTACCAGCAAAATATTACTTCAGGACCTTTAATATGACATGAATTACAAGAAACAACCAGGGCAAATTGCAAAGATGCAATGATTTTCTCAAATTTTCCGAAATTGAAGAATGCGCAATATAATTTATAGTTCTGCAAATAAATAATATTTGGACAGATATGCAAATTTGCTACGGCAATCTGCATATTCCATGTCCGCAATTTCTGGCCATGTTTCGATGATACTTTGTTAACACGATCTGTACGTATTTGTGTCTTTTGATTCGATGTCTCGCGCGCTTGAAATGTACTCATCTCGGCACGGCGATCATCGATGAGTGATTGACTTCAGATCATATGTTGGGTCTCTTAATGCCTTTTTTCGAATCCGTGAAGATGAACCAGCCGTAATAATTTGTTGTTCGATTTCGAAATCTGCGTTGTGGAAAGAACAAGTCTGTGCTAATGTCCGTGGTCGTGTATGGAATTGATCAAGGGTTTCGTTCGGTTCTTGTTTCGCTTGTCTAAAGCGGTAAACTGCGTATCGGCGATTTTCTTGCGGTTGGAAGTATTCGTGAAGCTTTGTTTTCGCGGCTTCGTAATCAGTTGCGTCTCCCGTATCAGGTATTTGTCTAAATATCTCGCGAACCCGTTTGCCAGCTTGATATAATAGCAATGCGCGTTTTCTTTTCTCATCCGTAATCCCACTAGCGAGGATGAACATCTCGAAATCTTGGATCCAAATGTTCCAGCGCGTGCCTAAGCTTTCGCCAACATCGGCGTCTGGATTAAACTCTGGCAATGGTTGTAGTGAAACCGATTGCGTATTTACTGTGATATTTTCTTGTGGCTCGGCTTGTCCTGCAGCCATTCTCGTCACCAATATAATGATCTCACTCCTTGCTCCGATTTGTATGACTGTATATTTTGTTTATCTTACTTTTCATGTGCTCTGACTTTTTCTCGCTCTCATACACTTTCTATATTATTGTCTGTCTCTAACTGTCAATCAGTTCTAATTCTATTGTCCAAGCTTAATTATCTATAAATAGCAGTTATGTATATTACAGGGCATAACGTCAAAACTAAGAGGCCTGTTACACTGAAATAAACTTCTTCAGATTCGTGAATCTATATACCATGTGTATTTTGATACTTTATTACCCGAGATATTGCTGTTTTATTTTTAATACGTGTTTTTGAAAAGTGCAAAAAATAGTCAAAAATGGCATATTAAATAAGAAAAGATAATGTTCATTTTCAACGTTTTTTGTCGTTTGAGCATTGTTAACTAACCCTGTCATATTCTGCGCAAACCCAAACTCGCTGTTGTATCGTTAAACGAGGCATATTAAGAAAAGGACAACCAGAATTCATGCGAAATTGTTTGTTAAATTTGTGCGCCACTGAAACGAATTTTAAAAACCTCACGCTATAAATCAAAATTTAAGCTAGACATCAGAGAAAATAAAAAACACAGTTTTAGTACAATAGCTCTTTTAATTTAAAAGTTATACTCAATGTACCACCTGGTACATTTAATCAGTTAATATCACATAGTCGTAACGTCTGTTTTTCAACAAGGCGAATTTTTTCGAGTGAATATTCTTCACGGTTTTTAGAACGAGTTGATAGTTTTTTTATCAACATTAGAAGGACAATCACTTCGCAACTTTTTCTTTAAAAAATATGTGTGCATAGTTGACAAAATTATAGTTGATGTTTTATTTACGTTCATAGAAATTTGTGCATGAAAAACACGTTGTTCTTCTATTTCCTAACTTCATGATTTCTAATGATAATATCAATGATGAATAAATATATTATACTGTGCATATGCAGTCAGTTCGGGTGAAAATTGTTTGAAAATAAGCTTCCCCACCTGGACTACAGCCCAAATGAAAGACCAAAATGTCATATACACATGTAAATTATCGACTCTTAGGAAAGAAGGATTCAAGTGATTATTTCCTGTTCTTACCTGCTTCATAAGTTTCGTAATGATTTCGATTCCTGCTCGACGTTTTTTAAGCGATTCAATACGCCATTTAAGAAATGGGAAGTAGTTAACAAGCAGTTGCGTCAATGAACTCACACCCTGATTTACGCCAGAGAACAGATTGGTGAACGCAAGGGATAATGCGGAATCACCGCTTTTTATGGTATCAAAATCATAGCCAAATACACATTCACCTAATGCATCCAATGCCAGCCGCGTCAAATCGTTTTGCACGGGCAGGCGACTCTCTTTACGATCGCTATTCTGTGACATCATTTCTATTTTGTTTTCCCAATACTGAAAAAAAAAATTAAACGGATGAGACAGAGTTTCATGTACCGTGACGGCAAAAAATAAAAAGGAGTTCGGAATTAAATTTATAAGGTTTGATATCCGAAATCCACGCACTGGGATCCAGGATCCATGTATATTTTCCTGTAATCCGGAATCTAACATATCATATTAGAAAAATGAATGGAGCTCATTTCAGCATAAAGTTGCTTTCTTTTAATTTGTTTTGTTTTCTAACTCACAAATTTATTTATTCTTTCAGGTCGCTTGAGCTAATATGTGAATCGCATTCTGACGGATTTCGTCAGACATGAAGTAATTATGTACCTGCAGGAAGCAAGGGATGCGCGAGTGGAGATATTGAACTGGGGCCGGTTGTATCAAGCCCGTTTAGCTTAAACAATGGTTAAGTTTAAAATAGAAAGCAAGTCTATCGTTTTACTCAACAAGCAAACTAAATGTTTTTAACCTTAATACAAAGGTACTGTTTACAACTACATATTTAGTGCATAATATTCAAGTTCACTCATTCAAGAGAGATCTAAGAGTGCTATCTAATTTTGATTTATCCACCGTTTAAACTAAACGGGCTTGATATAACCGGCCCCAGAGGAAGTCCACGGACCTGACCTTATTCAAGATTTGATCAACTATTTTAAAGCCTCCAGAGATCTTGAATTTCCAATTTTAAAATGGAATCCTCAATGCACGTGCTGGCGGGATCCTATTCCTAGCATTTGTTGTCATTTGTCATAATTCGTCGGAATCCAAGTGTATAACTTTTTGTGGGTAGCCTGCCCTGCGGCTAAGCACTATGTAGTCGAAAAAGTGTCCGGTGGTGTGTCGGATATAGCTACTAAAAATGACGAACGGTAGGCTCGACGCTACTTCCGGTAAATATCGTTTGTCAAATTTTAAAAGCGAAGGTATAAAGTACTTTAAAGTTAGTGTAATTTTTGTGACATTTGTTATTTCAATCGCTCGTTTTTCCCACTGTGGTCGAGGAATTTGGATCATAATCGGAATATTGGAGCGTACATATAATATATTCGAACCAAACTTGCCTGCACCGACGGTTTGCCAGGCGCTCTACGTGTCGGAGGTGCACGTATCAAAATAAAATAAACTTTTTTATCAGGGTAATGATTTATGGAATACTTGATACGAATGCTGGTATACAGTGTGCAGCCTATGTCATTGTATGCAATAACTGCTTAGAAAGAATATAAATCTGTTTATATTTGGAAGTGGTCAATTCTAAACACAAGATGTCCACAAGTGTGAATAGATTGGTTCCACTGATCTCAGATAAGTGATTGGTTTCTAAGGCTTTCAGACTCAAAGGCTACCCACATGTACGCTATGCGTACCTATTTTCTAACTCGTGAAAAGGCTGCTGATAGTCGTGTTCTGAATAATTAGTCACCATATAGCACTGTTCATTGCATTACCAACTTTTAGATATCCAGAAATCACAAAAAAATGCTGTATATAATCGAACTGTATATTTACACATTTTAAATCGCCACAATAATTTCAAGCCAGAAAGTGAAACTAATTAATCTAAAGCAACAATCGCTGTAGAAAATAACACAAAATTGGAAATAACACAAAAAACCTGTTGACATAAACCCATACCACGCAGGAACATCGATATGCCTTGACTCACAAGAAACAACCAGGGCAAATTGTAAGTATTCAATGATTTTAGTAAAAACTGAGTAATAAACAGTGCAAGGGTTTTTTTTATAATATCGATGATATAAACTTGTCATACCACTGTTTCGTTCAACCTTTAACCCTGGCAACACCATGTTAGGAACATATTATTTACCTCTGCAAGTGAATTGGCCTTTTCCTGTAAACATTCAACCATAGATTTTAAGTTGTTTACTTTAAATGCCGGGTTGAGCATTTTTCTCATTCTGAAATGCTCCTTTCCATTTGCTAAAAACACGTGTCGTGTTGGTAAGAACATTTTAAAGAAATCACTCGATCTTTCATATTTGAATGAGTTGGATACCAAGATTTGCTTTAGAGCATCAGCGTCACTAATTATGTGGAATGTTTTGCCTGTAATTTGAATAAAAATTGCATCACATGTGTTATCCCACACCAATGTGTGAGTCTTTTCCACACTCACACTGTTCCAAGGGGAACTGAGCACAGGCGTAACTAGAAGGAAAATTGGAGAGGGGGGATTTCTATAGTAGGCCCGACGGATTTCTATTGTAAGCTATTGCACTTAGAACTGGATATATGAATATTCACCTCGAGACGAGACGCAAAAAGGTCGATGTTTAGAGGGCCCCATTTCTGATAAAGAATGTCGAAAATTGTTGGATTCAGCACCGGCTCTGGGAATATTTCCCCTTCTAATTCATTATCAATTAATTAACTTTATTTAGCAATAGCGACCTCATCTTAAAGGTCATATTTACCACAGGGAATTTTGGGCTTCATGAAATTTGTGGCATTTCTAACGATAAATTTACGGCGACAAACTTTACTGACACAATGTAATAATCATTATTATTTATTCTAGGCTTCTTTAAAGACATCATGGCTCAGTGCTAACAAATTGATAAAGGACTGGTATATAGGGGATCTTTTCGACGTTCGAGCGAGATATTCAAAACAATATGTGCCAGTCTACTATGTATTTAAATAAAATTGATATACGCTGGGTTGAGCAATATGACATTTAATTGGATCAAATTGTATTCCTGCTTACCAAATATCCCAAGTGGTCGAAATCGAATTATCGGTCCGTAGGCTTTCACCCATTCGTCGAAAGTTTGCATCATGTCTTTGCTTTTCCTAATTTCAAGCAGATGCCCGATTATAAACCAATCTCCTTTAGGGCTTGGAATGTCTGATTTACTAAATAGGTAATTTACCGCCTTCCACAGCAATATGAGAAATGTTAGAGCGACTGCAAGGGACAGAAAATTGCTGCCGACGTTCCATGCCATGGTTGAATATCTAAATAGTTTAGATTCGGAATATTGGATAATGTTAGATAATAACTCAACAACGCTCTGCCACTGAGTGTCGATTGTTGAAATCCTCAATCAATTGGAATATCGGATTGCCAATTGCGCAATAACAACGAAATACATGACGTGAAATACAGCCATATTGTAAATGAGGAATACCAAAGAGACCTTGGTTTAAACTGGTTTTCAAACAATTACATATTGCCATAAAGTTTTTGATCGAAGCTACTTCTAGAGAAAATCGAGAATGCACAATGCAATTCATTGCACTTACCAAATGATATAATTTGGTATTTTAAACTTGGGATTTCTTTCTTTGGAAAATATTCTCGCCGGCATAGAATTGTAAGCATGAAAATAGCCATTTCATATTAATATATTCCTATTATTACCCGTATTCCTATTATTCCATAATTGGATTTCATTACATTTTACCAAAGAATTTTGCATTATACACTTAATGCCTACGTCCAAGAGAAAAGGAAAGCAAAGCAGGCCTTTAAAGGAACTGGGAGGCATGGAGTGAGAATTTCCGCCAAGTAGTTGAAAAAGGCTAAACCATACGCTGGCAACATTTGCCCAAGATTTTGTTTGGGTTTAGAAGGTGGTATAGGTAGCGGTTTTGGTGGTGCAACTGTTTTGGTGGTGCGACTGGTAGTGGACTTGGCTTTGGTGGAAGCCAAAGTGGTGGATTGGGCGGAGTGCGGGAGGGGGTGCCGGAGGAGGTTCAAGTGGTAAAACTCGAGGTGGTGCTGCTGGTAAGATAGGAGTAGGTGGAGGCGGTGGTGGAGATGGTACTGAAAGTGGCGGTGGAGTTAGTACTGGAAGGGTTGGAATGGTTGGCGGAGAAGGTGGTACAGGTGGCAGCATTGGAGGTGGTGCAACAGGAGGAGGTGCAGGTAGAGGTGAAGCAGGTGCAATTCTCTTTAAAGTTTGAAAATGGGCGATGCCTTTACCCCCAAAATAACCAAACAACCCCTAGAGCAAATATATTGTCACCTTCGAACGTTTGTCGTACTGAGCTTGCGAAGTATATTATTACGGGGAATAGGAATCTGAAACATGTAAAGACTAGATTCTGTGTAAAGCCAAAGAGTCGACTAACCTTTGTATTTGTCAGGAGATTGTAAAGAGGAATCAGCTTTGACCGCAGCTGGTTCCCTTAAAAAAGAAGATACTGAAAAATGTGTTCAACTGACGAGTGGGAATGCACGACAATAAGAAAACGAATATTTTTTTTTCACTCTCGAGAAAAATAATGCTCCCTGCTCGTTGGTCATAACAGGAGCATCTTAACCTATCAATCATTATAAAACATCCGGCATTATAAATTTGATAAAACAGTTGCGCCACGTCTTCAGCAATGTGTTTTAACGATGTTTCGACTTCACCTTTCAAACGTTATTGAAAGTTTGGTGCCTGGAAGTGTATTGAGTGGAGGAGGTTGAGCTGAAACCTTGCTAAAATCCTAACAACGGTTCAGAGACAATATAAATTATTGCAGATACATTTCTTTTACCCCGTAGCGACCCCTTATTCATTTTAATCTTTCCACCATTTTTTATACGTGCATGCGGCATAGTCAGACACGGGGCGAAGTGAGACACGACATTTTGCTTATTTTATATATCAGTAGTGTTTCATTATTATTCTCCCACACTTTTTCTCAAAAAACGAGTGTTTTCTTAGAGATACGGTAGAGACATTTTCTCAGGGTAGAGAACGATGCGATGTGTCACTGATATCTGCAGTATTTGGTAGAAGTTCGAGGTGCCTTTTTAGCCGTTCTAGAAGGTATAATTAATGAAATTTTCTCGCGCGTTGCCCAACCATGGTGGGTCCTATGTCAACAATCAAAATCAGGTTCCCCCAGATTCAAATTCATATCGCCGTCCCTGACATTGACTTTTCCTAGCATCTCGCTTTGACTTGCAATATATATTTATGATACTTTGCAGTTGCAAGTGGAACTGGAATGGGTGGTTTTGTTGCAGGAAAATGGTGGGGGAAGTCCTGGAGCTAGTCCACTAAACCGACAAGTCAGAGATGTTCTCACTCCTGCAGTTTTGGTCCTCAACGTGACAACAAGCATCCGCAACGCCAAATCAAAGAAGGTGGCGGCTAGGAAAAGCAGCAGTACTAAGATTGAACATGGTAATATAAAAATTGTTATCAACACAAAGAAAGACACGGTGGAAAAGAAGCACAAGGGGAAATGATAGAGAGAGTGTCTAAACATATATAGTTAATTAGCTTGAATTAATCGATGGAACTATTACAAAGACTATGCCTGTGAAATACAAACTAAATATTTGTCTTACGTTGTGTGACTTAATTCATTTGCTATATCAGCAATTTTAAGAACAAAACTTAGAAACGAGCATAAATCAGTGTCAAACAGCAGACTGACAACCATGATCAATCATTGATCATAAGACCGGTTTACACAAGTTACACATTCCTAATATACCTTCTTTGTCCTCTCGTCTTTTTCTCTTATCTTTAATCTTTAGGTTTTGATGTGATGCAACTTGAAATTATCTCGTTGCTGACTTGAGCGAAAAATCTTAGTTCTTCGTCAGTTCTCATCTTTCTTCGAAGATGAGTTAAATTTCAATTTCGCGGGCTCCCAGGCATGTTTTAGTTGCTTTCAATTGTAATCATCGGGATCCGGTTCATCTGGTAATTTTAATTTCAGGTCCTGAAAAATTGTTATATAGAGAGAGCACATGAAAGAGCATTGACAATAACAACAAATCCATAAAAGATGATTAATTCTACCTTTTCGCAACGGAATTAATTCGGTGCAAAAATTACAAGTTTGTTTCTCTTTTGTATGAAATATTATTATTCTACGCAGACTATATATATCGTATTTGATTTTTGCAAAAAGGGATAAATTATATGAGGGTTGACTGAACATACAAAATTTGAAACATGGGCATGGGTGAAGAGCACGAATTTAATTCAACATTGGCTATCACACAACCAATCCTATCCTGCTATCACACAAGTTAATAAATTATATAAATTGACAAAAATCGATTTTCAAATTGTGTAGACTTGAAAGTATCGAAATATTTCATGTTTAGAAAGCTTGATCGAACGACCTTAAGCCAAGTTAAGGGTAAACATTTTTGCCTATATTCAATAATTTTACAATTCATATTAAAAAACAGCGAAGCAGCTTACCTAGTGCCCTGGCCTGGCCGAGCATGTGAGATAATAGCGTGAACCGTCGCATTTAGACATCACATGCAGTACGCCCGAAACGGTGACAGAGACATTGATGAACAGGAGATTAATTCAACCTACGCTATCACTAATAGTATCCTTAAAATCTTATCAGAAGTAAAACTGAATATAGAAAACCTGAATGTGGTAATTAAATTTTCAAAATATTGCAGTTGAAAGTATTGAACATTTTATATTTTGGAAATGTCATCGCGATTTGTCGTATACATATTTAATTTTTTGTACTTATTTATTGATCTTAAAAAGCATGCATGTTTGAATGATAAACAACCAGCTTTCCTAGTGCCTATAGCCTACAAGCGAGACAATAGTGTGGATAGTATTTCAACATCGCGTCACGCGGAGACTGTGCATCAGAAGCGGCATCAATCATCTGCGTATATCCCTCTCAGTGAATACAAAATTTAAATTATTCCCCTAACAATGTTTGAAATAAGGGGCAATTAATTCTTTAAAAAACTCAGAATATGTCAACAATTTGGTCTTCTGTCCTAATACAAAAAGGATCAGTTGGGTGTCCAGCACGTCATGCTAAGATCAAATCGTAAGGTCACGGCAAAGCCCATCCGCAAAAATTTCAAGTCACATCAAAGCAAATAGCAGAGGAGAGCTGATTGACAACTCACCCGGCTTATGTTCAATAGAAAGAAGAAGAATCGTTTCATATTGACAGCCATTTCTGAATCATTGTGGAAATTTGAACAGCGGGAATCTGAGCTGTGCATCGAAATAAATCATTCCGACCATTTTCGCTTGTGACCTATAATATTACCAAGATTAAATCACGCTTTTCGAATCAAAAATGAGTTTTCTATTTCGAAAAGGGAAACGTGGAAGGTAAGAACGTAAAATATACTAATTCCATAAAAGATAATTTACAGCCAATTGTGGTTATAATGATATTTCAGCCAAAATACTACCATAACAACTGGTATCTATGTATAGTAGCCGTTATGCTCTACTGACCAAACCTTGTTTGACTTGTGAACTCGCTTATATTCAGTATAATGTCATTACTATATATACATGAAACACCTATAGGCATGCATTCATGCAGTATGTATTGTACAAACTATGATTATTTAAGAGACTCGATTTTTTATAGAGAAAAGTATTGTATGAACAAGGAATCCTCATACCTATTTTCTCTTATCAGGAAAATATTCACTAATTGTTAGAACTTAAAAGGCTAAGTACAATTTGCATAAGATTATCCATATACACTCGAACCATAGATACAATATCAAAGCTTTATGGTTTAAAGCTTTTGTCGCAAGTTGGATGAAGTCTTTTGACTTCGTATAAATGACCTTGCCCAGCATATCATTTAGGAATAATTAGGATTGGTAAATTTATAAAGCAATCGGGTCATGGAATGTCTCCTGTTTGTTGGCTTTGTTTAAACATTTGAAGCGAAACAATTTAGTGAATTGATTAAATACCTTTCAATTATAGCTGTATATCTTCTCGTAGTTAATGCGAAATAGTTGTTAAACTCCGCAGTCCGCATCGGTTGGATTTTGCGGGAACTGCAGTGCTTTAGATATATAAATTCAGCCCAATTGTCGACTATTTACCTAACCTCCATAAAAATATTATACATATATATTGTTCTGCAAAAGTGTTTAAGCCAGCCTGTGTATTGCAGAGAGTGGTGTTTTAAGTCAGCTTGGTAAAATAATTAAAGAAGCAGCAGAAATGCTAAGTAATAATCTGCTTTTTTTACATCGTTATTTTGGAATGATATCGGTGTTTATTTATATTTTGCGCTTTGGGAATGCAGTTCAAATTTGAAATATGCAGCACCAAATCATCAGTGCTGCTTTGAAAGTATCACAGTGACCTGTTTTGTACGTTTTATATGTTTTTTCATTGGCCCAACAGGCAATATAATTATTTCCCGCATGATTTTTGGTCGCTGGCAACAATGACAGTATCACGCATAAGAATATCGTAGGATGCTCTTCACTTCTGTTTGAATGCTTTTTCACAGTGGCTATAAAAACCATGTTTATATATTATAAGCAATGGATCCAAATTAGTCAAAATAAACCATATACGTAACTATTAATTAATACTATAAAGCAATTAAAAGCAAACAAACATCGAGATGAAGCACGATGCAGTTTCTTATGAAATTTCAAAGAATGGTTCTCTAATCTCTAATCCAGAAATGGAATTATTTTTAAGGTATACTATACAGCGTCAATGTACCCAAATGCTAGCTGTTCTAAATATACTTTTAAATGCGATAATTTCGTAAATGATCAGCCAGTTTTATACAGAGGGAGAGAGGGAGTAAGATCTACATGAGAGCATCGACTTAATGCTGTTTGCGGTAATTTCTATCACCTCTGAGTGTGATAATAATATTAGACTGGAAAAAGACTCATTGATTTATATAATTTAACGCACATATGAATCATTTTTGATTTATGTAATTCCAACTAGCCCCTTTCGTGCAGTGCGGTGGAGGCTAAATTCTATTAATGTATAATTAATTTTTGCGCAATCGTACCGAAGTTAATTTCAGTATATTGGGGCTTAAACTCTCCCTCTGTTCTACCATAAAACTAAGCTTTAAAACGACTAAAGCATACTTGGCACACTCACTAATGCTGTGAACTAGACTCTAAAGACAGATTATGTATGTTAAGATATTTCGATATTTTCAATTCATATGCAAATAACCTTTTTGTGGTGTGCCACCTTAAATCACACATAATTATACGTATCATAATCCCATGCACAACAACGATAATCCATGCCGTTAATTGCTGTAATTGAGCACTTGTATGGGAGTTTACGATCTACAACGCTGTCTGGTCGTTGAAACTGAAACGTTTTGCATGTGCATAAAATAAGCCACGATAATTCAACTTAATTCTAAAGTTCTAAAGCACGCTTCATAATGTTGCAGCCGCTCTTTATATCGTCGGAATGCCTTGAAAATGAGAATTTCGACGCTACCCGGACACCAGAAGTTATTTGCACTTTTTCCCTCTCACGAACTTGCCCGAACTTTGCTTCACCTGAGTGTCACCGTTTATTTCGTTTGGTGAATATTTAGCAGGGAAGCTAAAATATCGGCAGACAATTGAGAAACTTAAATCTAATCTCAATTACCAGGCCCTATAATAGGAATTTGAGCGCAGAATTTAAAAAAAAAATTGTCGCGGCAAATGCCTCATACAATAAAATTTCAAGCATAACTGAGGGGTATATCTTCCTATTATACTAGTTAGGAAAGTAATATACGGGAGATTTTATAACCATGCAGAAATTGGAAGAAGATTAAGTGATTAACAAGCACTAACATACATGATGTCGAGCATTTTATCCGTGTGTTAAGTTTCTTGTCCGGCGTAACTTTTTTATTGTCCTGCCTAGCTCATGAAGTAAATAGCGTGTACTGCATGATCGTCTGGAATTTTAAAGTAAACTGATCTCGAGATGCAGAGTTTCGGCAAATACCTGCGTGCATTGATAAAAGCGTAAGAATAGGTCCGATTGAGTAAAATAAATCACGTTTCCATACATAGTTATAAGTCAGTATATGTGTAAGCATTATGGCTTGGCGACAAGAGAAGGAGGTCCAAACAGGCTGGCAAAATTATCAAAAAATTGCCGACAAAGCATAGCAAAGACATAGCGAAGAAATCCTGCTGCTATTGATAATTATATAGATGCATACCTGCAGTACATTTTTTCCTACATACTCTTATCTTACGAACTATGTATACATGAAATAATGAAACGTTCCTTTGAATGGAACCTTTAAATAAATAATTTAAGGTTTTTGTTTTGTCTTCTTGCTTTCAAGATATTAAAATTAGAGACCGAGCACTTGGGACTCCTTTGAAACTTCCCTGATAAAAGTAAATTCATGTTCATGTTGTGACAGCTGAAACGCAAGAGTTTTTATGTGGGGAAGTTTTAAACTCCCTTCGGCTGTTAGATGTAATTTCCTACGGGTAGGGACACCCTCTTTACTAAAAGTAACCCTAGTGGTAGGGACACCCTCTTTACTAATAGTAACCCTAGTGGTAGGGACAAATTATATGTATGTAAACACTCCCCTATAGGTTGATCAAAGCAGATCCGGATGAAGCGTGAGACAACAAAATCATTTATAAGGCCTAAAACGCGAACTTTCGGATTACAAGACTGCCGAAAGTTTATATAACATATTCGTTTAGTAATTAGAAATACATACATGCAGTAAACCTCACTAATTTATTCCAAACAACCAATTTCCTGAGCTAGCCATGCAAATCTAAGCATATATTATGTATGACATGACTCAAATGAGTCCGGCGATAATATGACCCGTTTTTCAGATGCTTTAAGAAAGGGCATTTATTAGTTTATGCCCCAGTTACAATTTATGGACTCATACAGCTTAGTAATTGAAAATTCAACCTTCAGAGACTAAACATCAAATGTTATTCTTCGACTATTCAGCTGCGAATATTTGCAGTCGACTTTAAAAATTATGATTTATCAAAATTTAAATTCAAACTTTAAAAAACCCTTTTGAAATGTAAAGCATAGTATGATAGCTCTTCGTAGTCGGTTATATAATTGCAAAACAACATATCCACTCCTATAGCCTACAAATAAACTGCATCCTTTAATACCGCAAATGCGGAATAAAGCCAAGGCTAGCAGAAGATGTGCATGGTTAATTCGATAGATTTGGTAGCTATATTCGTTCAGATCTTGGATATTAATTGAAATTCTTTATCGCCTTTTATTACCTACAAAATTTGACCTGTTCCGATAGCAACTTGTTCCATGTAAATGGGGCCTTATGTTTTAAAACCATCCTGAGACGGTGATGTAAGTCCCGCATTTGTAAGATGAGGTCGGTTACCGAGATCTAACGAGGCCTGAGCCTGAGGTGATTTTGAGGTATTAAATTTAAGGCGATGTTACATTATGCAACTTTACTTGCAACTTGCAATGCAATTTTACTCCTGAGGCATCTAATTTTGTCAATATTTCTCACGAATATTTCTTACGATTTGCTAACGTTTTCGTAACAATTATTCAACACTGTTGCCAGAGACGTGCCGGGCGGGAAGCGTATTCAGAATATAAATATTAAAGCCCAACATAGTGCTTTCAGTAAAGCAATAAGAAACAATTAAACCATTTGAGAATAATAAGAATATATTTGGTAGTAACGTTTCGTCTTAACTTAAGACATCTTCAGACTAAATGATAAATTACATGATAATTTGAATATGCAGACTAGTAATATATTTACACGATGACAATACGAAGTAAGGACTAAAATAAATTGAGAGGGATAGAGTTGCCTTGAAAATTAAGAGAAGGCTTAAGTTTGATGAGGAGACTCTCATGTATCATTAGCTCATAAGACTCAGATGAAGAAGAGAGGATTCCAAATTGGTCGAAGCTAGCCGAGCCCGAGTGTCCGTATAAACCTTTAAGTGCGAATGTATACTGGACATAATAGGGCTTGAGGTCTGTTTACCAGTGATAGATGATATTTCCAAGTGCTCTGATATTATACCACGCGTCATCTACACACCAGAATATCAGAGCACTTGGGAAAAGCATCTATCACTGCTAAACAGACCTCAAGCCCTGTTATGTCCAGTATACATTCGCACTTAAAGGCTTACGAACACTCGGCCTAGCTTTGAGCAATTTGGAATCCTCTCTTCCTCATCTGACTCTTATGAGCTAATGATACATGAGAGTCTCCTCATCACCAAACTTAAGCCTTTTCTTAATGTTCAAGGCAACTCTATCCCTCTCAATTTATTTTAGTCCTTACTTCGTATTGTCATCGTGTCGTGACGTCTCTGTCCCTTGTCCCCTCATGTACTGTTTGTCCTTACTTTGTCCTTGTTATCACCCTTTGTAAATTGATACCTTGTAAATATATTACTAGTCTACATATTCAAATTATCATGTAATTTATCATTTAGTCTGAAGATGTCTTAAGTTAAGACGAAACGTTACTACCAAATATATTCTTATTATTCTCAAATGGTTTAATTAATTGTCTCTTATGGCTTTACTGAAAGCACTATGTTTGGCTTTAATATTTATGTTTTCGTAACATTTCGAATACTCTTTACAGATTAACCTTCCTTATAATTAAAATTGTAATGCTAGTTGTAATGAAAATTGCATAGTGTAAAACCGCCTTTAAGCTTTTTGAAACTAAACAAGCGCATCCTATTGTCTGGTTGACCACACAACTGCCAGGATCATGTTGTATGAAAATGTTAAATCTCAGCAATAGGTAGGATTCGTTAAATCTCAGCTATAGGTAGGATCAAGTGAACAGCTCTCTAGAGTTGTCGCAGTTTATTCTGCTTTTTCCGCGATACGCCACTGACGTGTGTCTTATGTGGTTTTATGTGTATGTGGACAGAGTGAAGCGCAAAGAGTTGATTTTTTATAAAAGACTCATACTTGTCCAGAAAATCTCGAATTTCCTTTGAAGTGACTAATGAGCAAAATTGTCTGTCAGGAAATATTATGGAACGTTATTTTATCATTTTGTTAAGATATTGTTTTGTATCATTTTACTTTTAGCAAAAAAAGTCGTAATCGAAGTTTACCAATAGGTATGATCGACGAAAAAGATGGAAAACCAAATCGTGGGAAAGAGGACCATTCACGAGCTAAGTCTCATAGTTATGGCGTGGAAAGAGAACGACCTCCGTCTGCCAAACAAGCAAATAAATCCCTAGTCACGAAGATAAACGATGAACCAGCCACTCCGATACCAGATGTGATAGCATCCCACGAAGCCTCGCGTAGTGATACGGCGTCAAAGAGTCACTCGACCATGAACAACGCTGCCCAGGTAGCCACTGAGAGAGAAAGTGGAGGAATTGAGCTCAAAACACAATCGACGGATGTACGAAACAAACTTTCAATATCTCAAATCGACGGAGTTATTGCGAAGGTTGAGGAACGAAACGAATTTGCGGAGACGAAAAGTAGCCATTCTAGTGCAGTACCTGACCCATTTGAAAACGTAGAGGAGGTGAACGTGCATGTCCATCGTCCTTTTAATGAGGATCCCATGGAAAACGTGAGCACAAGTTCTCTCCCAACCGACGACGCAGACACGGAGTTCAAGCTGGATTCCATCGCTTTGAATAATGTGAATAGAAAAAAACGTTCAAGTTCGATAACTCACTCGGAAAAAGAAGCCGTCGGAACTCTTGACGACGTCCTCCGGGTATTCGACGATGTTGACGATAATTTGCAGGGGGTCAGTGCGAATGATGTCAAAACTGGTGACGGTAGGCCTGACATTTCCGAAATTGACACGACCTACGAAACGATGGCCGATATTAAAGATGACCTCGCAAGTCAAGATAGGAAAAAACAGGACAATAAACGCGACAAAAACACCCCAGATAAAACCCTAACATCAACTGCAGATCAGCAAAATAACTTTAAAAGTGTCGAGCTTCCCATTTATACTGAACCGGTCTATGCGAAACCTGTTAAGTCTGTCAAAGATACAAGTCCCAGCCAATCAGTCGCACCTAGAGCGATTCAAGAAGAGGTGCAAGATAACCCTCCTCCAGTACCAGCTAAAAGATTCGTAGACCAAGAACATGATCATGAGATCAAGTTTTCTCCTTTGAAAAAGACTTCCCCTTCCTCCGCGCTTTCAAAATCCCTGAACAAAACCAGTTGGGCAAATGCAAGTGAAAGTACCAGCCCCAAACGTAAACCTATGCAGAATAGCAATGATAACTTCAGTTTAAAGCGAGGTCAGTTATCGGGTCCGGCACCTGTAAGTACCGACGACAGCTATGTAGAGCCACCACGGGATTATGATATTAACGCAACCCTAAGTTCGGTCGGTAAATCGACAACCGACGAATCCATCTCTCGGGACACCTGGGGTTCCATGACCAGCAGTTCGACGAGCGGTAGTCGAAAACAGAACAAAGAATTTCGACCGGAGGCAGCGAAATTGATCGACAAGGCAAAAGCCAGGAGAAAAGAAAAGAGAGAGGAAAGACATCATGATGGCCTTGTAAATCGTTCCTTTCGACTGATCAGAGAGGCGTCTTTGAAAGAAACACCAAAGTCAGCAACAAAAGAAGACGCAACGAATCGAAGTGACATAGAAGAAGACTTTGTCACCATTAAGAACAACGCTGATCTTTGGCTGGAAGGCTATGAGCGCATGCGTGCTAGTTCGGAGGGAAAGAAATCAAATTCGGGTACTGCTACGAACTCCTATAACAAACAAAACAACAACGTCAGTAACAACACCAGAAACAACAGGCATTCAATTTCTACAACCAAAGGTGGTAATAGCTTACCCCTAGATACTGGACTTCCACTAACAGAAACAACGCAAGCAGTTTTGAACCAAACAGGAGGCTCTGGTGATGTGCAAGTTACAAACGCTACCTCTGAGATTGTTGCACGAAGCGAATGGAAAGAAGCCGAAAAAGTTAAGACAAGCAAAACAAAAGTCAAGGAGCAGAAACAGTTACCACGAAACGATGAAATCGATTCATCTGACGATGAAAACCTTATCAATCTCATGGAGACCGGAAGTCGTAAGGATGATTTAAAAAACTCCGCCGTTGTGGAACCAAAACGTCTTGGATACGTGCCCCGTGCGCTGCGAATGAGTTTCGGTCAAAGCTGGGATGGAATAAGGAAAGACAGACGCGAGTGGAAATCGAGGGAAATGAAGCAAGTAACCGGTCATGCTTCGCGCAAGGGAGGAAAGGCGACACTCTCAAACAGGTTGGATGAACAGGAAGTACAATTAGAAATGCTGTTTTAGAATCATGTATTAACAATTATAGATCCTTACAGTTTTAAATATAAATAATGGTTGGTGGGGGCGGCATGTAAGTTCAACTTTCTCAATTTATGATCGGGTTGACAAGGTAGAGAATTGAAAAATAATACAAATTTACGTGCTGCATCTACAAACAAAGATTCATGAAATATATTATTAATTAGCTCACGTATACGCGGAAACATAAAAAACAAAGCATATATTGCATATACAGTTTTAATGCACCAACACAGTACTTCATTACGTTGCATTGTTTTTTTTTCACCTTACATAGTAGTTTTTCATCACAAATTATTGATATACATGCACGTTTTCAGCATAAAAATTATCGTTAGCTATATTAACTTCTTATTAACCGAGCGCGAGGTCTTTACCTAGAAATATCGGACCGAGGTTTTTTGAACAGACCGAGCTTGAAGAGCGAGGATTGTGCAAAAAGATCGAGGTCCAATATTTCTCGGAAAAGACCAAGCAAGCGAGGTTAATAAAAAGTTTATTATATGGCATAAGGCATGTATTTGCACTTGAAACAAACAAGAAATGCATGAATTCGTATTAGTAGCCTGGTACGTATTTGATAAAAACAAAACAAAATATTTAATTATTTAGTTTACTTAAACTGTCTGGAGACGTCTAATTAATTTCAAAATCAATTAAATTTTCTCTTTAGCATTTATTTGTGCCTTTTTCATTCAGAATTTCTCTGTTTTTCATCTCGTAATGGATCGCTGCTAACGCCGGTCTATTACGGAAAGTGCCGGTCCATTACGGAAAAGTAATGGGTCGCTGAAAATTCTTCTCAGCCAATCACTGAGCTCCATTTGACCGGAAGTGACGCTTGCCATATATAGGTATTATTTTTATACATTAAATACTGATAGTTCGTTAAATAAACTACTATATTTTAAGAGGCCTCGAGCGGTTCATGTGCAAATACTCACAATAGTCGTGCATGATAATATTATTAATAAATTACGTCCAACGGAAATAAGGGGTCAGGGAACAGTTTTAAAACAGTTTTCTAAACAGCAATCATCAGGTTTTAAGCAATTCACAAGCGAGACTGAAAAAGAAAAATTATCTCAATATATAGCAAGTTTTAAAGTAACAAAGTTCATCTGTTCCAGAATCTTGTATGGTTAAACGTTGTCACGTGTTTATTTTAGGTTTAAACCAGTTTGACGGGGGTTAATAAGACTTAAAATCGTGATTGCTACGTCATATCACGCGGCACATATAACCTTTGTACCTCAGCCGTTTTTTTTGAAACTGGACCCTCGACCACCAACGTTCCTCGGGTTCACAAAATATAGTGTTTCCTGTATTAAGGGACGTCAACAGAACACTCGTTTCTAAAACAGATCTATGACTAATAGGTAACATTGTTTTAATCAGTCCTCTCCTGAAAAATTGTTATGGTTGATAGAAAAAAAATACATTATACCATGATGATGAAATCGATTGTATCAAAAGAATCTTTCAATGTGACCATGCATCTGGCGAAACTTTTTAAGGAAAGCCGCTCAAATCTTGTTGGACATCACACCCCTGGTTTCGATGTGTTAATTATTAAAATCAGATGGGGTTGCCTGTGTGCATCTGAGAAAATGTGTACATTCTTTTTCTAAAATTTGATTTCTATGATGAATGTTTTCACGAGCAGGCAAGATGAAATTTGCTGGTGAACTCAAAATAAATGGAAGGCAACGTGAATATAAGACAATCTATAAATTATTTTTGTATGTGTGTCTTTGAGCATATAGGTGAACATGATGTACTGTAAGCTATTTTTGTAATTCATGCATCAGTATACTTCAAAAACTCTTTTTTAGCAAGACTTCATTCAACGTTTAGTTTTTGATAAATAGATGGAAATCAAACGTTTCATCAACTTTAATTATGCCTCTGCTTGTTACAAATGTATTTTTCTCTGTCACAGAAATATGTTAAAAAACCTTGGACATATTCGGTTTCTGGGGATCTGCACATGCAGCTTCAAAAAAATTGCAAGTTGCAAGGAAAGTTACGTAGTGTAAAAGCGCCTTAAGTTATAATCTAGTTTATGCCTCAATGAAATTTAAAATTAATGTGCAAAGCCTTTTTAGCCAATATTTACAATCACTTATGCTACATATAAACTCAAAAGGGACTTTGAGTTTGTGTATCGCCCGAAGCATTTAAATACGACACTTAAAAACTGTTTCAGACATGCAGATACAGTTAGGCTGAGTTAGTATATTCATAATTCTTATGAAAGAATTCATTTGTAGTATTATGTGGTCTCCAAACCATGTATACTTTATATAAGTGTGCGGTGGCGTAACAAAATCATCAGAAAAAGCGGGTAATTTTGCAATAAAACGACACTGTTACGTAAAGCATAGCAAGTTCCCAAGTGGTCTAGTGGCTAGGATCTAGGATCTGACGTTTTCACCGCCATGGCCCGGGTTCGATTCCCGGCGTGGGAAACCCGTGTTTATAATTATCAGTCAAGAAGGGTCTACGGCAATACATTTAACACATGAATGAGTATCATTGCAGGACACGAATTACTGACAAGGATAGGAAGAATCGCGTTTCATCGAGTTTGTTAAAAAGAAAATTGATATTTTGAACGAATAAAGTTGAGTTGCGTTTACGAGAATTTAATGTGTTCTTAATTTATTGCATAGGAAAAATATGGACTTAAGACTAAAAACATTAAGCAAAGTTGGAATTTAATCAACCACCTGATCGGTAAAAATATCAAATCAAACACTATATCCCAACTTAAAATAGACAATTCTGTCATCTCAGATGACAAATTGAAATCTGAGGCGTTTAATGATTTTTTCGTCAATATCGGGTTAAAACATGCAGATAAATCCGAAGACAATTCCCCAAACACAAATTCTCACGGTCGTGAAGACCCTAGGCCTAACCCTACTTTTGACTCCCATCTTCCTTTCAATTTTTCTGAAATTAATGAGGAGGAAGTAATACATCAATTGCGAAGTCTCAAAATCTCAAAATCCACAGGATTAGACAATATCCCTGCCAAAGCTTTAAAAATTTCTGCGGATATTGTTGGCCCGTCATTAACCAGGATATTTATATAAAATCTTTCTATTGAAAAAGGTCAATATGTTGATAAATGGAAAAAAGCCTGGGTTACTCCTATTTACAAATCTGATGATAGGTTAAAGCGCGAAAACTATCGCCCTATATCAATCCTAGCCTACCTATCGTCAGTAAAATACTTGAGAGATGCGTTTTTAATCAAATCTACAAATTTCTTAATGAAAATTCGCTCCTCTCAAAATATCAACATGGTTTCCGGCCTAAACACTCAACTCATACTGCCCTGACTCAGATGTGCGATGCTCTATACGAAAATATGGACAATGGTCTACTGAGTGGCATCGTTTTTCTTGATATTCGTAAAGCCTTTGATTCACTTGATCATAATATTTTACTTCATAAATTAAAAGACCAATTTGGAATATCAGGCACTGAGTTGAAATGGTTTGATTCTTACTTAACTGCTAGGGAACAAGTCTGCATTGTCAATAATATAATGTCATCGTCAAAAAGGACTGTTTCTGGGGTGCCGCAGGGATCTATCTTAGGTCCTCTGTTATTTTTATTTTCCATCAATGATTTACCCGATCGCCTTCAAAAAACTACTCCTTATCTATATGCTAATGATACCCAAATTTGTTCCAGTTCTAACAGTTTGTCTGAATTAACCGAAAACCTTAATCATGATTTGAATAGAATTGGCGAATGGCTTTCTAGAAATAAACTACAACACCATCCAACTAAGACTAAAATAATGTTTGTTGGCTCCAAACATCGTATTAAGTCAATTACCTCTGATCATCCACTGACATTGAATAACCAACGGATCTCCAGAGTTCACTCATTTACATGTTTGGGGCTCGAACTAGACGAAAATCTTACCTGGAGTCCACATATTCAGGCGATTTGCAAAAAAGTTGGTGCAGGTTTGGGTACATTGAGACGTATTAAACCATTCGCACCAACAACCTCCCTCCAAACAATTTATCGGGTTCTGATTCAGCCGTACTTTGATTATTGTTCTCCTATTTGGGATGTCTGTGATCAAAACTTAAGGGATAAACTCCAAAAATTTCAAAACCGTGCAGCCCGAATCATAACCGGTGCGAGTTACGACATTAGATCTGCTGATGTTCTTCGATCTCTTGATTGGGACAACTTAGAGACAAGACGACGTACTAGTAAATCAATACTAATGTACAAAGTCTTGAACAACTATACGTAGGTCCCACGTTGAAAGAAACCTTGATTAGACGCAATCAAATGCAAACTAACTATAAACTTAGAAATAGTCATACAGATCTGGCTCTTCCTAAGCCCAAAAGAGAATTTTTAAAAAAGAGCTTTAAATATAGTGGAGCTAAGTTATGAAATAGTCTCCCTATCAACACCAGACTGGCTAAGTCCATTCATGCATTCAAAAGCCAGCTGAAACGTAACTCCAACGTAACGAATATATTCTAACCATAATATCCGGGGTCACACCAACTTGTACATATAGTCCTTATTTTCCTACATTTTTGTAATTTTTAATCTTGTAGACGCCCCCCTTGGAAATCAACTTATTGTTGTCGGGGCTAGTGTCTTTAAATAAAGCTTTCCATACATACATACATACATACATGAACGATGCGGGCATCGATCCCGCTACCTCGCGCATGCAAAACGCGCGCTCTTCCATTTGAGCTAATCCCCCACAGCCGCCGTAACGCATTGAAATCCATCGTTATAATGACACATATCTATGTTGTTTTTTTTACATTTGATTACCCAAACGAACTATTTGCCAAAACCCCAAAATGAAAGCAATATTTTCAATATTTTGCAGAAATACCAAGCTAACCGGCAAAATATTTTAAATTATTTCCTGCCGAAACCCGGGATTGAACCAGGGACCTTCAGAACGACTCAAAACGACTATTCATATTGATCAGGCGTTTTCGATCATCCACCTAGTTCCCTAGCTGCACACAACAACGGAGCCGATACTGGGCAATTTCAAAATGCCAGGTTATGATAAATATGCATACATTAATTTAATAAATTTCTACTCCATTGCCAGTATATCAATCGGACATAGGGAAGTAAAATATTTTTCAAAACATTTTCCATGCAGCTGTCCTTCGAACCGGATTTGAACCAGTGACCTAGGGATGTTTGCTTACTTATCTACAGTCCTCGCTCTACAAACTGAGCTATCGAAGGCTGATGACGTCCAGCTTCAAATCTTTAACGGAAAGCAACGGTTTTCTGAAGAATGATTTGAGATCCAAAGCATAAAATTTTGGAGGATGCGGGCGTCGATCCCGCTACCTCGCGCATGCGAAGCGCGCGCTCTACCATTTGAGCTAATCCCCCAATTGCTGCCTTACCTTAGATCTCTTCCAGCAATGGGTAAAAGATAGATCACTCTATAAGATATTAAAAATTGAATTTCAAAGTCGGATTCGTGTAGCATGGGACCTAATTTATGGGTGTAAT